GCAGCAGGGGAGCTCACAGGTAAGCGCTCATGGCTTCACCGTTCTCAGTGCAAACCTGGTGTGTTGTCCCTGACCGAGCCTCCCTGCCCAGTTCAGAGTGATTGTACAGAGACTGATCCAAAGGGGATGGTGCAGCCCACACAACCTGTGGGAGACTGGGGGGCTGGCAGGGAGGTGATGGGGCTGTGCTTGGGGGATTGGGTCCTGTGGAGCTGGCAGGCAGGACCTCACCAGGTGAAGGCACTGTCCCACTGGCCCTTGAGCAACCTGGCAGGTCAGGCATCACCAGGCAACCAGCCAAGCCCCATCTGTGCCATGTCTGATGCAGGTCCTTCACCTGTCCGCAACCTGAGCCTGAGCAGCGGCGGGAGCTCTGCTGTGCTGCATGCCTCCTGGGTGCACGCCCGTGGGCAGCGAGATGGCTACCACCTTGCCCTCTACCACAGCGACTCCCAGATGCTTGTGAGAAATGCGTCCGTCCTGCCAAACGCCTCCACGTTCCTGTTTGACAAGTTGCTGGCTGGCAGTGAGTACGCCTTGAAGGTCAGCACGCTGGCTGGATCCAGCCAGGCGAGCACCAGTATCCACCAATGGACAGGTAGGGAGCGATGGGTGTGCCTGCCCAAGAGGGAAGGGGTGGGAGAAAGGGTTTGGCAGGAGGGGTGCAGCACACTGTGCTGGCTGGGCTGGCGGAGAGGGGGAGGAGGTCTCCAGGCTTGGGATGGGGAGTTTGTGTAGGATGGGGAACAGCTGGGAGTTTTTCACATCCCCGCGGTGAGCCCAGTGTGCTTGGCCAAGGGGACGACCTCACACCTCAGTCCTGCCTTGCAGAATCCGCAGCTTGGGTTTGTGTGCTCCATGTCCCCATGGGAGAAGGGCAATCTGGGGATCCTGGCAAAAGGCCTTGGCTGGTGGGAGCTGCAGAAATGTTGTATTACCCAGGCTGCCACCACCTCTGCCCTGCAGCCTGACAGAATGTGACAGTATGGAGGGACGTCAAGAGCCCCTCAGCTCTCCTGGGAGACATGGGGGAGACATCCCTCAGCAGAGCCCTGCCAGACCTTCAGCCCCCATGCCAGCACAGAGAGCAGCTGTGGGAGATGGGGAAAGGGTCCAGGGAGCCCCAGCCCCAGTGCTGAACCTCGCTGCCTCCTGCTTTTCCCCTCAGCTCCCTCCATCCCCACCCAGCTGAGGCTCAGCCCAGGCTCCAGCACCAGCCTCGTCGCCTCCTGGGCGGGTGCTGGGGGGGCTGCCTGGCTGCACCTTGCGCTCCACAACCTCCTCACCCAGACTGTGACCACGACCCTGTCGGCCAGGAGGGGCCTGACCAGCTACACCTTCCAGCATCTCCACCCTGGCACCCAGTACTGGCTGGGGCTGAGCATCACGGCAGGGCCCTACACTGTGGGGGGGCCCAATGCCACCGCTTGGACATGTGAGTATGATGGCCAGGGATGGGGGAGGACCTCGATGACCCTGGCTTTCTCCCTGCCTCTGGTCCAGCCTCTGAATCCAAAGGTCTTCTGCCAGAGCCCTGGGTGCAGAGGGCAATTCTTCTGTTTGGACCTGGTCGAAAGCCGCTCCAGGACCCATCTCTGGGGCACTGCAGTAGTGGGGCCAGTGAGTTCCCCCTCAGTGCATTCCTAGTGCTGGCCTGCTTCTCCCTGGGATGCACTGGGATCAGCCTGTGGCCTCTCCCTGACGGGGATGGAAGGGTAGCAGATCCCACTGGTGTGAGGTGCAGCAGGGGCCGGGCTCTTACGTGCCTCAGGGCTGTCCAAGGGCAGCAGAGAAAACAGGGGGCAAGAGGATATTGGTATGAACTGGGGGTTTCTGGAGGGAAATGGATCTTTGGTCCCCTTTGCTGTCAAGGGTATATTTTGGTAGCACCTGATAACCTTATCCCGGTGGATGTCCCTGATGTGCCAGGTGCTGTGCAAATACAGCCAAGGAGGCCAGCCTCTGGCAGGTCAAGAAACTGAGGGTAGCCCTCCCGAACCCCAGATAGCTGCACCATTCAACCCAACCACCTCCACCTCCTGGCCTCACGCTGACAAGGGCCCCAAGAGCAGATGACTTCCGCGATTACAGTCCTGGTTTGCTGCCAACACTGTGGCCGTAGCACTGTGAACAGTTCTGGCCCCGGACTTGCTCTCCCAGACGTTCCCAGGAAAACCAGGTGGAAAACAGAGAGGGCAAGCCTAGCCTCCTGGACAGACTCATGCAGAATGCCAAGAAAGCGGTGACCCTCTCTGGTGAGGAGCAACAAATTATGGAGGTGCCAAGCTGCAAACTCAGGGCTGTTGTGGCCGGTGACTCCTCCCGGCCCTGGGCAGAGACACTGGTCAGGCATATGCTGGAAGGACCCGGTTGCCACCAGGTGACAAGTCTCCAGCTCTTTCCTGCTCCGCCTGCTAGTCCAGGAAGCTGGAGTCTGCTCACTGCTGGCTCTGCAGCTGGGATTTTGGAAGACCTCCACACCCCCAGCTGGTTTGTTTCTGCTGTGGAGTGAGTCTGGCTTGATCCCTGCCATTGCCAGTCTGCAGCTCTAACCTACCCGACTGAACAGCCGTCCCCAGTGCCAGATGCATGAGCCAGGGGCGTCTGGCCAGGAGTTCTGTCCAGGCCAGTTCCTGGGAATATCAGCAAGCTCATGACGGGACACGAATGGAGAGGAGGGGGACTTTTAGGAATTTCCCAGCAGGGCTGCCAGCTTTGTCTAGGCTCTGCTAGACCAGGAATGATTGTGCTGGGGAATGGAGACAGCGCAATCTGAAAGGATGTCTAAGGCTGGAGGTAACCCTGCAGATAAGGAAGCAGGGAATGAAGCTCAGGTGTGTATGGGGTCCGGAGCACCCCATAATCCTGATGCACACATTCTCATTCCCTTCCAGACCCCCTGAGCCCTGGCAATGTCACCCTGAGCAGCGCAGAGGAGCAAAGCTCCTTGCAGGCTTGCTGGAGCACCCCAGCGGGAGAGAGGGACTTCTACCTGGTGACACTGCAGGAGGGAGAGGATGGTGCTCCGACAAGGAACATCTCCGTCGGCGGAGACAACAGTCATGTCACCTTCCACGGGCTGAGCCCCGGGAAGCAATACTCTGTCCAGGTGACGGCGGTCGCTGGGCCTTACCGGGCATCAGCCCGCAGCACAGCAGCCTGGACACGTAAGCAGAATCCTTTCAAGGCCATTTCTGCTGCCTGATGGAGGGGCTGATGCCCTGAGGGAGGCTGGTGGGATGGGGAGGGGGATTGTGGCAGGGGCAGAGATGCTGTGCAGTGGCACCTGGTCTCAAGAGCCGGCTGTGGGTCAGAGTGGCAAAATCTGCTGCCCCACAGTTCCTTGTGAGGGTGCACTCCGAGGTCCTTGGCAGACTCGTGCCAGGTAGTCAAGCATGAATCAGGACCAGATCCTACTCAGTAACCTTTGGCCTCAGTGTTTGGCAGGCTTCAAGATGTCTTCCCCTCCCTCTGCTCACAGCAGCTGGTTTGGTGGGTAGCAAAACACCACCAGTCCCCCCAGAGCAGCATCTCCCTGTGCCCAGTCCCTGCTGTGGAGCCACAGTTGGTGCTGTCCCTGAGCTGCCACTCCGGGAAGGAAACACTGGAGCCTTAAAGGGTGTGGGGAGGCACTCACCCAGCCCCTGGCACTGGGAGAAGTCAAAGGCTCTCCCTGCAGCCCTGGCTGACCGCTGCAGAGTGTCATGAGAGCAGTCTGGCTGCCTGATGCACTGCCCCACGCAGTGACGTGCATGATCCCATCCTTGTCACTTGCAGAGCCGCGAGCACCATCTGGTGTGAGTCTGTCCAGCCAGGGGAGCCCCTACAGCCTACTGGCCAGCTGGGAGGAGGCAGTGGGAGAGGGCTACGTGCTGGCCTTCAGCGCCATGGAGCACCCTGTGAAGAACAGCTCGCTGCTTAGAGGTGTCACCAACTTCACTTATGAGGGCCTTTGCCCTGGGACCCTCTACACCTTTGAGGTCAGCACCGTGGCTGGCCCCTACACATCCACACCCCGGCGCATCACCAACTGGACATGTGAGTGCCACAGCCCTCACTGCAGCCAGCCCTGGGGTTCCCACTGGGTCCTTCCCTTCCCCATGATGTTGTGCCTCAGGGCATGTGGTAGCACAGGTCTTCTGTAGCTTCATGCAATAAAAGGGCAAAAGGCTCAGGAGGAAAGCAGAGGTGCTGCTGGATGTGCCTGGCCCTGGTCTGTATGCCAATTGCCCAGCACAAGGGTCAGCAGAGCCCAGTGCCCTCCTCCCCCCCCAGGCCGCCCTCCTGTGGCACTGTCAGGCTGCATCTGCCCTGAACCACCTCTCCCCTGCCCTGGTCCAGACCATCCCACCCACCACCTCCTCCAGCACCAGAGCACTCCTCTCTTACCATGCCAGTTTGAAGTGTGTCCTGGCCCAGTCCCTGCCAAACTGGGTGTCAGCAGGGGTGACAGTGGCCTGCTCAGACCCCACGGGTGGCCGGAGCACCTGGATGTGGGCTTTCCCAGGGAAGGGGCTCCAGCCCCAGCACATTTGGGTTGCCAGTTGACTGCAGTCCGGGTGCAGCTGTGACTCTAGACTTTACCTTTCCTAGATCCTTTGCCCCTGGAGCAGCTGACCCTCAGCAATCAGGGCCACAGCACCTCTCTGCAAGCCTCCTGGAGAGCAGCTCCTGCTGGCAGCACCAGCTACACAGGCACGCTCTGGGAAACCAAGTCCCAGGAGCAGGTCAGGAACATGACTGTGGGGAACAACTGGACAAATGTCACCTTTGAGGATCTGGTCCCTGGGCGACAGTATACACTGGAGATGGCTGCTATGGCTGGACCTTACAGATCCCCTGTGCGATCAGCCACAGACTGGACATGTGAGTGTGTTACCTCTACCTCACCCCTACTGCAAATTGCAACCATGGCCTGGCCAACGAGAGCAGAAAGCTCATGGCATGGAAGCAAGGCAGAGTGTGGACCATGTCTGGGGAGTGGGGGGAACCAGGGACAGGGATGCATAGACAGACAAAGAGTGGAAGGACAACCAGAGCCATATTCAGCCAGGTTGGAAGTACAAGGGTCTTCAGTGCAGGAGAAATCCATCACTGAATGGAAAACATTTCCAAATGTCACCCAGCAGGAAAGGTGGGGACCTGCTCCCGTGTTTGTTGTGGAGCAGAAGCTCAGGCTGTTCTGGGTTTGATATGCCAGGGCTGATTTCTGACCTGAGCCCACCAGGCACAAGTGGTAGAGGGTGCCCAGGACAAGTGCATGCAGGCCCCCACTCCACACCACGGCAGCTCCACCATGTCTGCATCTCGCTACCTGGATGTCTCTTCTCTCTCAGACCCCCTGGCGCCAGCCGGCGTGACCCTGACCAACACCCGACGCCCGCTGGGACTCTCTGCCTTCTGGGACAAGGCTGCTGGTGATGTGGATCAGTTCCACCTCCAGCTCTACAGCAAGAGCCATCCAGCACAGAGGAATGTCTCAGTGGGGCCAGACACCCACAACTTCACATTCCTGGGGCTATCCCCTGGCATTCAGTACTTCCTGAAGGTGACTGTCCTCGCTGGCCCATACAGATCCTCGTCACACTTTGCTACTGAGTGGACATGTGAGTGAGAAGTGTCCCCTGCCTCTGGCAGGGACAGGGCATCCTGGCACTGCCTGCAAGACTGGCAGTGATGTGGATGTGTTTGGGTGGAGGGAGGGCTCTGGTGAGACCTGCACGTTCCCTGCCCCTGGGAATCGGAGCATGTGTCATGAGTTACGTGCTGTGTACCAGCTTCTGGGCCCCAAAAGACCCTTTTCCCCAGCTCAGGCTTTCCCCAGTCAAGCTGAACCTTCTGCCTAGACTACTCGTGATTTCAAGGCCAGCCTGGGACTGGTGGGAGAGGGGTGCAAGAGGGGAAGCACTGAGACCTGTCTGGGCTTGCTGCTCCCTGTCCATGGAGCAGAGCAGCTCACTGGTGAGCTGAGTGCTCTCTTCTCGGTAGAGCACCCGCCTGCTAGCAGCAACCTGGGGACATGCACAGGCAACTTGCATGGCCCCCAGGACAACAGGCCAGCTGGCAGCCAGCTTGCTGCCACTTCTCCTTTAACCCTCTGCAGAGGTGCAAGCTGTGTCCTCGCTTCTCCAGTTGCTTTCTTCCACGATCTCATGGATCTCCATGCTGTTTCCCCCTAGATCCACTGTCTCTGGCTAATGTGAGTATACAGCCTGGCCAGAGACCCCAGGAGCTACATGTGAGCTGGGTGGAGTCAGGCGGTGGCAGAGACCACTTGGTACAGCTCTCAGTGGCTGAGTCCCTGTCCATCATCAGGAACGTGTCCGTGCCCCGTGGAGTCACCCAGCTTGACCTGGAGGGGCTGGTGCCAGGGTCCCGATACCGCGTGGAGATCATTTCTCAGGCTGGGCCTCATCGCATCTCCTCTCAGACTGCCATTGGCTACACTGGTAGGAACGCAGCTCCTCTGCACCCATCCCCATCCCTGGTCCCAGGGCTGTTCTGCAGGAGGGCCCTGAGACCATGTCCCTGCAACACCACTGGTGCGTGTCTTCTACTCAAGATGCTGGCTCTCTTGTTGGTACCCTCACTCATCCTGAGCCCATAAGCTCAATGGGGCATGCTGTGAGCCTGCTCCAGCACTCTGGGACAAGGGCGTCTCAGGTCGTGGTGGTGATGCACCATTACTTACTACAAGAAGGACACTGAGATGCTGGAGCGTGTCCAAAGAAGGGCAACGAAGCTGGTGAAGGGTCTGGAGCACAAGTCATACGAGGAGCGGCTGAGAGAGCTGGGGTTGTTTAGTCTGGAGAAGAGGAGGCTGAGGGGAGACCTTATTGCTCTCTACAACTGCCTGAAAGGAGGCTGTAGCAAGGCGGGGATTGGTCTCTTCTCCTCAGTAACAAGCAATAGGACAAGAGGAAATGGCCTCAAGCTGCACCAGGGGAGGTTTAGGTTGGATATTAGGAAAAAATTCTTCACTGAAAGGGCTGTCAGGCACTGGCACAGGCTGCCCAGGGCAGTGGTTGAGTCTCCATCCCTGGAGGTATTTAAAAGACGGGTAGATGTGGTGCTTAGGGACATGGTTTAGTGGTGGGCTTGGCAGCGCTGGGTTAACAGTTGGACTTGATGATCTTAAAGGTCTTTTCCAACCTAAATGATTCTATGATTCTATGATTATCACCTGGGACACAGGGAGTAGCTTTGATCTGGGAGCAACCTGCTGCTCTCAGCAGTCTTTAGACAGCATGTGAGATGCTCACAGTCCTGCAGCTCCCACCTTCATTCCCAAACTAGAGTCAGTCCTGAGCATCCCAGGTTTGTCCCCTGTAACGCTCTTTCTCTCTTGCAGTCCCATTACCTCCTCTCTCCCTCTCGGCAAGCCCTGTCAGCACTGCCTGGGCTCTGGCTGTGCACTGGGAGACCCCTCCTGGGCAGAGGGATGGATACCTGCTCAGCATGCACGAGGAGGGATCTTCTGCACCAGCAAGGAACCTGGAAGCAGGGAAGGACAGCACCAATGTCACCCTGGCACGGCTGGCACCAGGAACTTGCTACCTTGTTGGGATCTGGGCAGTAGCTGGACGCTACCGCTCCCTCCCCCAGAATGTCACTGGCTGCACGGGTGAGCATCCGTACCACTCATGGGTGATTTGGCTGAGGGCACTGCAAGGAGCTCCAGAATGGGATGGGGATCAATGATGGCACCCAGGGAGAGGAGGGCACCCTGGCCTGGTTCCCAGTGATGCTGGCCTGCAGTCATCTCCTGACTTTTGCAGCCTTCTTGTGCCACATGGGCACAGAGCACTTGCTGGCCAGTTGCTGGGTGCCTGGGGAAAGCAAGATTCCTCCCTGGAGATGGCTGCATGGTCAGAACTGGATCTTCTTCTCACTGACTCATGTGTCTGTCTTTCCTTGCAGTTCCTGCTGCACCGACAAACCTGAGCCTTACCAACCCAGGCAGCTCCTCGGAGCTTTACACCTGCTGGAACAAGCCCCCCGGCAGGAGGGACCACTACCGTGCTATTCTGTATAGCCTCAGCACCCAGAGCAGGGATCGGGTCCAGACCTTGAGTCCGGATGCCCAGAACATCACCTGGACTCACCTGGAGGCAGGCAGCAGGTTTGCTGTGCAGGTCATTGCTGTGAAAGGCTCATTCGAAGCCTCCTCCACCAACGTCACCCAATGGACACGTGAGTCTGATGGGCTGGGTTGGACACAGCACTCCACTGTGCCCCTGAGCCTTGCAGAGCACCCACCGCCACCTTCCCCATCCCAAACCCTCCCCGCTGTGCCCCTAGCTTCTACATAGTTGTCCCACCTTTCTGCTCACTGTCCTCACTCCTTCCCTGACACAGAGCCAATCCTCCCTACCCACCTCAAAGGCTCTGGGTATCTCCCCTGCCATGTCCAGCTGCAAGCCCTGGGGATATTGCACTCAGAGCCATGCGCACTGTCTGCCCATTTATCCCCATGCTTCTCTCTGGGAGGATCTCTGGTGGCCAGCCTGCCCACCGCCCGGGGGAGCTGGGGGCTGGAGTCCAGCCCGTGGCACTGCCAGAGCACAAGGAACCACTGGGCAAAGCAGCCGGCTCATAGCACTGAGCAGTGAGTGGTGGCACGCAGGGGCTGACCGTCTCGCTGTTGCTTTCCAGATCCCTTGGCCCCTGCCAACCTCACGCTGGGCAGCCCCTCTGCCTCCACACTGCAGGTCTCCTGGGCAGCCAGGGGGCGAGGAGCAGAAGGCTACATGGTGGATGTCTATGACACAGCCTCCAGCAGTCGTGTTGGGCGTGTGGTGCTGAGTTGGGATGCCAGGAGTCACACCGTCAGGAACCTGAGACCCGGCACCCGCTACAGCGTGGCAGTGAGGGCCACAGCTGGGCCCTTCCACACCAGCACCCCCAACCTCACCCACTGCACACGTGAGTATGATGCTCTCCTTGCAGCCAGGTGTCCTCCACCAGATCTCCCCCTTCCTGGTTCAAATCAGAGGCCATACTGGTGCAGCCAGATCCTGCCTTCCTCTCCCACCCATGCAAGCGCTCAGTGCTCATGCCCTGCTGGATGCAGCATGGGGAGTCTGTGCATGACCCCATGGCCTGGCCACCCATGTCCCAGGTAGCCATCTGCAGTCACCCACAGCACCAGGGAGGAGGCAATCCCTGGAGCCACAGAGTCAAGGGCAAAGCCAGCCCTTGAGTCCTTGCAGGGCTGACCCACCTCCTGCAGCACAGGCTTGGCACAGGCATGGAGCATCTCCTTTCCCTCAGCCTGACCACGGCTTCTGGCAGTGACTGTGTTTCCTCTGCAGGCCCGCTGCCCCCAGCCGCTGTGCACTGGCTGAGCACGGGGCACCCCGACAGGCTGAGCGTGTCCTGGGGCGCCGCAGCCGGGGGGCGAGATGGCTACACACTGACCCTGTACCACGCGCGGCTGGGCACCGTGGCAACTACAGCCTCACTCAGGAGAGACACCCACAACTTCACCTTCATGGGCCTGACTCCAGGATGCGAGTACTCCCTGGAGGCCAGTGCTATGGCTGGACCATACCAGGCAGCGGCACCCAACATCAGTGGCTGGACCAGTGAGTGCCCAGAGGAGTGTCCTCTGCAGAGGGGTGGGAGATGTTGCACCACTGGGCAGCCCTGAGGAGGGATGGGAGGTTTACAGGGGTCCTGGTGCCTTTGGAGATGTGCACACACATGTGCATGGGTGCAGCACGCAGCAGTTAGTGCATGGGAACACTGTTACCCTCATGGGCACATGGATGTTCAACTGTGGACTTGCACAAGTACACGCTGATGACATGCAGGTTACCCAGCTGTGCCCATGTGGGGACATCCTTCTGCCCGTGCAGCCCCATCTCCCTGTATACAGGAGCACTCGCACCCTTCCTGAATCTCCTCCAGCAGGCAGAAAGGACATTACCATGAATCAGTGTAGTAGAAGAGGCTAATCCACAGTCCTCCTAGGAGAACAAGTCTTTGCTAGTCCAGCACTTCGCCCCACCCAGAAATATTTTAGGGCTGGACAGAGTGTAGAGGCTGTGCCAGCTCTGCCCAGGCAGCCGCACGCCAGCTGGGCACTGGAGGACGCAGCGGTGGCAAAAGTGTTTCAGCTGGGCTATGGGGATGAGGGTGACCTGGATGAAGAAGGGTTGGCATGTGAGGGACTACAAAGGCTGAGCAGCATTAAAGGTGAGGTGGGATGGGGACAGAAAAGAGAAAAGTGAGGAGAAGGAGTGTGCCAGAGGAGGACTTCATGTCCCAGCCCTCAGGGAGAATCGGTTCTGCTGCACAATGTCCCGCCAAGTGTGTTTCCTTCTGCACAGTCTCCAGTCCCTAACATCAGGTCTGATGACTCCCCAGGCCCGCTGCCCCCGGCCACAGTGCGCTTGCTGAGCACGGGGCACCCCGACAGGCTGAGCGCATCCTGGGGAGCCGCGGCCGGGGGGCGAGACGGCTACGCACTGACCCTGTACCACGCGCAGCTGGGCGCCGTGGCAGCTACAGCCTCACTTGGGAGAGACACCCACAACTTCACCTTCATGGGACTGGCCCCAGGAAGCAAGTATGTGTTGGAGGTGGTGTCCATGGCAGGGTCCTACCGGACACCTGCAGGGAACGTCAGCAACTGGACGTGTGAGTACCTTGTTTTGAGGTTGATGCATGCCTTGCTGGGCAGTCACAAAGGCTCATGGCAAAGGACATGGACCCACTGACCTTCATGGCAGACCCCGAGCCCTACCTGAACCAAAGGGCATGTCAGTGCCATGACACTGAGCAGGGCTCTGCCCACCTTCACCATCAGCTCCACCAGCCTGGATTAGACCAGCTGCAGCACTGGGAGCTGTGCTTCAGAGAAGCACGGAGGAGGGAGCAGGGGACAGGGGCGTTCACCTTCCTCTCCCCTCCAGCCAGCTGGGTGTCCCCTCTTCTCCCATCCCTGGGGGTCTCACTCCAGCTGGGACAGGGCTGTCTCTGTTCAGAGAAGCACCACTTGAATCTTGCAGAAGCTGCTTTCAGCTGCCTCCAGGCTGGTGGGCGCAGCCATCCAGCCGAGACGAAGTGCCCTGTACTGTATGGTGCATCCCTTCTGATGACACTGCCAAGACAGCCAGGCAATGCCCTCAGACCCTTCACTGACAACATCTCCTATCCTGTCTCTCCAGACCCCCTGGCACCCCATAACGTGTACATGACGAACCAGGGGTATCCCAACAGGCTGAGCGTATCCTGGCGAGCTGAACCCCAAGGACAAGACAATTACAGGCTCCTCCTGTATCACTCGGGATCAGGTATTGTGGCAGCCAATGTTTCTGTTGGGAAAGGCATCAGCAAATTCACCTTTTCTGGCCTGGCTCCAGGACACAAATACCTGCTGGAAGTGGTGGCCATGGCAGGGCCCTACGCAGCCTCTGCGGGGAACATCAGCGACTGGACTAGTAAGTGGCAAGGGCTGGAGGTCCTTGCATCATGCGTGAGGCTCCGTCTTCCCCAGCCGGGTGGGCTCAGCACCTGTGGTGGGAAGGGGCAGGGACGGGGCTGGGACTGCTGCCTGGAAGCTGTAGATACCACCGTAGCAACGGGATCATGGGCTGTGCAAGCCCCCGGTGCAGGGGAGAGCAGGGCAATACTGCTGCCCACCGGAGAGTCTGGCAGCCGTGGCTGCTGTTTCAGGAGGCAGAGCTCCAGCTCCTGGCCCCGCTGTTCACACAGGCTGGCTCCTCCAGGCATGGGTGACCGAACAAGAGCAAGGGATCCCAGAGTGCTGCTCTGGTAGAGGACACCCACAGCCTGGGAGACCACGAGGCCTTACAGCCAGGGGGGGACACCCCACCATCCCCACTGCCTTTCTCCCAGGCACTCAGAAAATTCCTGGCATGGGGGATAAGGGGAGGCTGGACCTTTTTTTTTTTTTTTTAAGGAATGTGGAAATTGCAGATAAGCACAATAAGCCTTTTCATGTGCTTGCCCCCACAGTCCCTGCACTTTGTTTGGGGAATCCAGAGGTCTCTGCTCGCACACTCAGCTAGCCCCTGGCAGAGTGCTGGGAGTCATGTGCAGAGCCCTTCAAACAGGTCTCTAATGAAACATGCCAGTTAGCAGGAGGAAGAACCCATCTCCTCATGCTCCTCACTCTGCATGTCCTCCAATTGCCATTTAAAGCTCATTTCTGGTAGTGGCAGCCAGCAGCTGCAGAGACGTTATCACTGAACAGTTTCCTTGCATATTACCCATCTTCTGCTTGTATCTATCTCTACAGGATGGAAGAGAGTACATGCATGCCAGTAACTCTCCCCTGGTGTGGTTTTCATTGTAGCCCCCTCAGTTCCCAAAAATCTCTCTGTGGTGGCTGAAGGGAACAACACAATGCTCATCTCCTGGGGCAGTGTCTCTGGACAGCAGGACGACTGCCAGCTGTGGCTGCGGGATGCCAGGAACAGCACGCGGCCCTGGCGGCACACCCTCGGCAGAGGGCAAGTCCAGCACCTCCTCCAAGGGCTGATCCCAGGGAGGAACTACTCTGTCTCCTTGAGCTGCGTGGCCGGGCCCTACTGGAGCAGCACCAAACCCTTGGCAGTGCCGATGGGTGGGTATGCACTGCCGTGGGGATGGGGGGAATGCAGGCTGGAAGGGGGAAAAACACCTGGGTGGTCTCAAGACTGGATCAGCCCTTGGGGGTCACAGAAGCATGGGAAATCTTCGTGGTGGAAGAGGGAAATGAGCAAGGTGACCCTCTGGTAGCCATCACCTCCCTAGCTAGCCCCATCACAGAGATTTCCCATCACCTCGTGACCTGGCTACCTGTGAAGCAAGGCGGACTCTGCAGAGATCTCCATTGGTCTGCTTCTCATAAGGCATCTGCTCAGGCCCTGACCCATTCACCTTGTCCTGTGGCCCTTGGCACAGAAGGTTCCCAGGACACAGATGTCCAGCTCTGCTCCTCTCCCATTGACCTATGGACAGGCAGTAAAGGACCATAGTGGCTCTGGGCTGATGCATGGGCTGAGGTTGGGATTTCTCTGACCTATTAAGTACAGAGCCTGCCACACCTCCTTTGCAGAGCCGAACCCAGTGGAGGATGTGCAATGCCTACCAGAGTCAAGGAGCCTTTATTTGAACTGGACCACCTCTCCTGGAGATGTGGAGGCTTATGAGGTGGTGACAGAGAGACTCTCTGATGGACCTCCCAGCTCCAAGTATGTCATGAGCGTCCCTACGAGCGAGGCCAGTCTGGAGGGGCTGGGGCCAAACTCATCGTACCGAATTATTGTGAGTACAGTGGGCATGAACACAATGAGGAGCCAGGCTGTGACTCTGATCTGCAGCACAACAGTGGAGGGTGAGTCCTCTTCTTTCCCACAGCCTTGCCACAGACCCCAGGAGAAGACACCCAGTGTTGCTAATTAGACCTGGGGACTCTTTCAGATGCCTGTGAGTCCCATGTGGTCCTGCACTGAACTGCAGTGGGTCAGGGCTCTGGGCAGTGATGCTGGGACCAGTCACAGGCTGAGCAATGTGTGGTGGGTCCATGGGAGCAGGGACACGCTAACAGGTTGTACTTGCTGGTTCCTCTTCCAGCCCTGCCTCCACCCCTGCGAGCAGACATCTTCCAGGTTGAGGCCAGCTCCACGGTTATCATTTCATCGGACCTGTTCAGCGAGGAGAATGGCCAGATCGAGTATTATGGTGTCATTGCTACCACTAATGATTCACGTAAGTGCCCCTGCACATCCTGATCTGCAGTGGCTCCCTGGAGGGCAGCAGGTCCCCTGGACATCACTTTGGGACTACCTACCACTGTCACCTTGTACATTATCCTTCAGTGCTGAGGCCCACCCAGGAAAGCATGTCCAGCACATGGTATGACCACTATTATGGGACAGAGGACTCCTACCTGGCTGTGCTAATCCCCAATCCCTTCCATCCGAGCCCCAGGAGCTCCCCCGAAACCTGGCGAGTGCCAGTAGGAACAGAGGAGTGCGGCCAGTCCAGGGCAACGTGCAACGGGAAGCTAAAAGCCAACGAACAGTACAGGTGAGAGATGTCAGCATCCCTCCTGAGGGGAAGGGGCTGGAGGAGAAAAGGGACTGCATGTGTCCCTGCAAGGTGCCACCAGCTCCCTGGATGCCACCTCACCCTCGTACTCCCCAGACTCCCAGCAGTGGACCCCCAGCGGGGTACCCCTCCACCCCCCAAATACTGTCCAGGCAGTCTGAGACTGTGTATCTGCCCTCCATGCCTCCCAGCTGCCATTTTCACTCCAACATCGACCCCCCCACAAGGTAGCAGCTAATTCAGAGCCATCAGGGTGTCATTAGCCCACCAACTGTGACTGAATAACATGAACTTAACTGTCCAGTTACTCAGGATTAGAAGATCCTTTTGCACCTCTTCACAGCTTGCTTTCATTTTGGCTGCCCTAGACAAGATGTATCTTCAGTAAACTGTGCTGCTTTCCTAGTTAATCATCAGTAGTGTGGTGAAAAGCAGATACCTCTGACAGCCCATCTCCACTCTGAAAGACGTGTTTCCCATCTTTCAGTGAGTTATTTATCCACAAGCCCTTATCTCTCATGCCATGGCATCTGGAGGCTCAGTTTCCAAAGAGGTCTTTGCTCTGGCAGAGGGGACTCACACTGGGCTCCACAAACTCTTGGCTGCTAAAATCGAAAGCTATGACTGAAAGCCTTAGCTTGCATTTAGGGCACAAGAAGACCTACCCGTCCAGGTTACCTGCTCAGGAGGAAGTCAGCTCTGCAGGGCGCTGTGAGGCTTGGTGTGCACACTTCTGGGAGGAGGAGGATGTAGGGCAGATCTCTGCAGGGAAGAGATCCCCCAGCCACTTCTGTGTGCATGGGGAAGGGGATGGGTCGGGGCTCAGCCCTCCCAGCTGAGGTGCCTCTGTTTCAGACAGTCACCCGGGCTCAGCTCTTTCAAGTCAACCTAGTTAATGGGTTGACATGAACTAAGACAGTGACTCAACCCAACTTGATTTTTCCCTACTTACTGTTGTCTTTCC